AAATCAGTATTATTTAAAACCTAAGATTACACGTTGTGTTTGTCAAAAGTTCATCGGATATATATAGTAAACCAGCTAGTATTTTATTGAAAAGTTAAAGGCGGAAAAAAGATAATATTTGGTGGTAAACAGTGGTTTTTGGCCAACTATTTGTGAAACTTGAAAAAAAAATATATTCCAATTAACAGGAATGTGGCACTGTTGTCAAATGTCAGTCACAAATGATATAACAAAGTAAATAACATATTTAAAGGGTTCTGATGATTTGTAAATACAAACACAATTTAATACATTTTTATAATGAATGTTATTTCTTGAATATTACATAATCGATTATTTGTGACTATCAGAAAATTAATAGAGTAATTTGATTTATGTGCAATTGTTTTGTACTTTTTAGGTAGACTTTAATCAACAAAACATGGTGAAAGTTGTTTCCCTTGTTTAGTAATGCTACAATTTGGTTACCAAGAAATGAAATACTATAAAGTGAAGTATCGTAGTATATAATTAACTTTTCTTTTTGATAACATTTTATACCATGAGATAAAAACAGAAATGTTAAAGTATGTCACTGACCTACATATTATTGTAATAAGACTAGATGCATTTCCGGGACTTCAGAAGTAAATAAAAAAATATATTTTATAAAAACAACGTTATGCATGACGAACTAGGAACACATTCAAGCGTTACATCGTTTCTTTATGCATCAAGTAAATCAAGATTCCCACATCGAATGTCAGTGAATGCATGGTAATGTGGGTATAAGATTTACAAACCATACTTAAATATTCGTTTTTGTTTCGTTTAATTTAATGTCTCATTTTCCGAAGAAAAGTCGGTACGTTTTTATAATTAGCCTTTATAGATGGATATTGAGAAGGTGTAATTAATCATCTACTAAATGTCTTTTTCATATCTTTCACCTATCCTAAAGGCAGTGGCGTAGCTACCGCAAAGCTAGCGTAAGCAATGCATAGGGGCCCAAGGCAAATATGGGCCCTTTTTCGAAAGTTTGAAGGGGGGGGGGTGCAAATCGAAAGTCTGAGGGGGGTGCAAATCGAAAGTATGACGTGGGAGGGGGGTGCAAATCGAAACTCTGAGGGGGGTGGGGGTGGGTGCAGATCGAAAGTTTGTACCCCGGTCACTGGGAAGGGTCGCTACGCCTCTGAAGGGCCCACTAACACTTTTTGCATAGGGGCCCAAAAATCAAAATCCTAGCTACGCCACTGCCTAAAGGATTCGTATATAACAATTGTAGGCTGGAATCTACAACATTTGTAAGCTTTTATTTCTCAAAAACATAAAAATCGTGACATAATCACACAATATAGACATTTGTCAACTAAAGAAAGTCATGTTAAATAGGTAAGTTCCGTTCTGAACTCAGCTTGTAAGATCTGCGTAGGGCCCAACTTCACAAGAATTGTTGGGTTTTTTTCAGTGTTTGTTTCTAGTTTTTTTTTCTCCAGGGGAGGGGGGGCACTTAAAGTTTTTTGGGCGTGGGGGATGGGTGTTGAGAGTTGTCGTAAAGTAGCAACGATTTCAAAAGAATATGATTACGCTTGCAAACTGGAATTTAAATAGGTTACACATTTGTAGCAGCTATTATCTTACCAGTAATATGTTTATTATGTGATACATAGTTAAAGAAAAAATAGTTTTTATATATATTTCGTTATTAAGTTACATTATAGTAGATTGTCAAAACCATGTTATAAGATATACATGCTTTTGGAAAAAAAAAGTTTCATTATTGTCAGAAATATTTTTTTTGTAAAACCGTTTATTTCTTCCCCCCCCCCCCTTTCTTTGCTAATCCCCTAGTCTGGACGCTCGTGTTAAAATTTTAATTAATACAGTCTTGAAGCGGTTGGATGTAGAGAGGATAGCTAGAACATTTATAAACAAAGCGTGCCAAAAGTTAGGTACGTATCTCCTTTTGTATTCAGTTATGATATTCTTTTGCACAAGATGAACGGCTGGCTTTCAAAGTTGACTTACTTACTTACTTACTTAGTCCTCTTTGCTCCTTATGGAGCATAGGGCCTCCACCATTTCCTTCCATTTCTTCCTATCCTCGGCTATTAATTTTGACATCTCCCAAGACATCCCTATTGGCTTCAGTTCTTCAAGAAGACTCCGCCTCCAGGTCTGTCTTGGGCGCCCTCTCTTCCGCTTTCCCTGGGGGTTCCACTCAAGCGCTTGGCGTGTAACATTTGTGTGAGCCTTTCGCAGTGTGTGACCCACCCAGCGCCACTTCCTCCTTCTTATTTGCACACCTATAGGCTCCTGCCTAGCTTTCCTCCATAGTTCCAAGTTCGGCACTTTTTTCAAAGTTGACGGCGGACATAAATAATTAGCCGTCGGTACCTCTTACACGTGAATTATAGGCCTATATATTTTAATGTTATACTTGTTTGAGAAAAATATTTTATAAAATAGTTATTGTTCAAAACGCTATGTGCTTTACTACACGTTGAAAGATATTAGTGGCAGAAATATAACTGAATTGCTAAAGATTCGACACATTTAAAATAAAATAGGCTACCAATACCTTTGAGAAAAAACAAATTATATCTATAGGCTTGTACATTCATTATTAGGCAACACAACAGCATATTAAATGCACGCACTGATTAAGAGAAACTATGAATGATAATGAGAATATAGAGATTTAGATATTGGATGTAGAGAGAAAAATAAAATTTAGCGTTGACATTTTGCTTTCATCTCCCCGCATATTAAAGTTAAAAATCACTGTATAAAAAAAATAGATGTACAATAAATTAAAATTATTTATGTGAAAAATAGGTACTAGCGATGTAATGCATTTTCTTGAATGGCACCTGTTTTAAATTAATGTATAAATAAATACATATGTAATAAATTAAAAGTCTGTGTGTTTACAGTAGCGTAGCGCGGGGGGGGGGGGGCATATGTCCCCGGGCGCCGACCTTAAGGGGTGCCAAAAAGGGTTGGAAAAATACATTGAAAGGTTGAGGGGGGTGCAAATCGGAAGTTTGAGGGGTGGGGGGTGCCAATCGAAATCTCGAGCGGGGGGGGGGGGGGGGGGAAATAGAAACGTTTGTCCCCGAGCGCCGGGAAGGATCGCTACGCCTCTGTGTGTTTAACTACATTATCAAGTTACAATGAAATAACCATTACAAAACAAAAATATATTTTTTTTTAGCAAAGATGTAGATGTTATTAATTTTTTTTTAAATTATATGCTGTACACTTACATTTTGTTAGTTTTTGTAATATATTTTTCGATAAAATAATTTCATTCAAAGTTATTTCCCATGACAAACAAGAGATTATTCATATTTCAAGGATCACTATATTCAATTGCATATCAAAACATATGATCATAAGTATCATTGATTCGGTCAACTTCTTATCTCCAACGTTGGGGACTATTGATATTTTTTGTCGTTGTAGGAGAGAACAGGTTTAAACGATAATGTTTGCAGTCGGATGGAAGTTTCGCTTTATTTTTTTATTATCTTAGTGGTCGTTACCTTAGTTTTATACTTGTAATGAACCAATCATAGACGTGTGTCGAACTTGCCAGCAGGTGTAAAATTGTGGAGGTGGTCGCCCTGTCCAAGACAGCAAGGGATCTGGGCTCACCTGAGAGCTACAGACCGTTCTCCCTCTGCTCTAACATCAGCAAGCTCTTGGAAAGGCTGGTCAATGCCCGCTTGTTTTGGTTTTTGTCAAATAACAGACTGATAGACTCGTGTCAAGCGGGCTTTTGGTGGGGACGGCAGCCAGTGGACTCCGTTCTTCAGTTGATTAAGGAAATCACTGGCTGTTTCCACTCAAAGGTCAGCACCTATGTGCTGTCCGTCGATCTGAAACAGGCCTACTATAAGGTATGGAGATCCAAATTGATATTAAAACTCCGTCAAAACATGTACCGGTGACCAACAGACTTTCTGTGTTAGGGAGAGTTAAGGAGACTTTTATAGTGCTGATAACCCCATCCATTCCTATGTATTAGTATTAGTATATATCATTAGTTTTTATTATCTTTGCATCAGAAAATATCATCGACATGCGCATTTGAGAGCTAGAAAAGATGTCTTGTAATATTTTATTGTTTGGTATTAATGACATCGATGTTTGACATTTGGTATATAATGTTATATTGTTTGGTATGATTTATGTGTGCCTATGTAATGTACTATGTGTGATGGCCTTATACAGACAGTCTGACAGACTGTTTTGTTTTATTTACTATTCGTTTAATATGGATTAGTTTAGAGGTAATTTTATATTGTTGGTTTTCTTGTCCGCTATTCTACTCTTATTTAATGTTGGATTTCGGATGGATTTTAATTTGCCCACAATGTCACATTATCTGGTACCTCTTATCAGTGGCGTAGCGAGGTCGGGTGTCAACCGGTGCGACACTTAATGGTGTCACCCCCCCCCCCCCCACCCAATATGCGTAGCGACCCTTCCCGGGGACAAACTTTCAAATGTTCGATTAGCACCCCTCCATCAAACTTTCGATTTGCAACCCCCCCCCCCCTCAAGTTTTCGATTTGCACCCCCCTCCCTCAAACTTTCGATTTGCACTCCCCCCCTCAAATTTTTCTCTATATATTTTGCTATTTTTTTCCTTGGTGTCAACCCCCTAAATGGTGTCACCCGGTGCGGTCTGCATCCCCCCACCACGCCCCCCCCTCGCTACGCCCTTGCCTCTTATTATTTAGTAATTCTCGCTTTTTTTTTCTTCCACTCTCCGTGATATCTACGGTCTGGCTTAAATGTTCTAATTTTTGCTGATATATTTTTACGGCCAATAACGAACGTTTCAGTCTTACACTTAAATGTGTTGATGTATTGATGTATATGCAGCTCCTGAAGCTAAACCTACATCTGCTAACTTTTCTACCACTTGAATACAAAATAACAATATCTGGTCATTTCTTTTAGTCTTCCCTGATCTCATGACTAACCTCCAGTATTAAATCTACAATATGTTATTCTTTAGTTGTATGACCAAATACTGTCCACTGGTACTCTAGAAGGACAATCAGAGCATACATAAGTTGCAGTAACTAGTTTACTTAAGTTTATTTTTTATATAAGACCTAAAAAGTCAAACATAAGTGCATAGGCACAATACCATATGCAAATAATGTACGCAAATTGTTTACATTAATCCAAACAAAAATCATTTTTGTATTAAGTGATGTCACGTTTTTACTCATGATAATGTTTGCCTTACTGATAAGTTTTCCAAAATTTATATCAATGGAAAAACACAATCCGCACGTAACATTATATAGAGATCAGGCTTAAAGTATATGACAAAATATATAACATATTTAAATGGTTCTTTGGATTTTAAATACAAAAGAGATTTAGTTAAATTTGTATAAAAAAAAACTTAACTCTTTTAAGACATTTACGAATTTATAAATTGTTGTTAGAAAATTGTTATAAAATATAATAGTTGTAAATTGTTCTTGTAATGCTTTGGTAGAGTTTAATAAACAAAGGATGGGAAAGTTGTTTCCCTTATTAAATGTAAATTAATTTAAGTCCCCTTTATTTATAGCATCGAGGCAATATAATTCTAATAGGCCTATACGTCTTTCTTGGTGAACTTAGCACAGAGACATAATTCTGATCAATGTTATTTTATTTATTAAGTGTGTAGAGTGTACAGAATAATTACGGCGAACAATTGCAACATTATTATTCATGTTTGTTTTGATTTATTTTCCTATTCTTTTAATATGAAGTAATTTAGAGGAATCATATTGTTTGATTTATTGTCCGACATTCTTCTTTTATCAAATGGATTTAAAATGTTTTCGGATGAAGTTAAATGTTCCCATTATGTCACATGTTTGGTCAGTATTAACATTAAATATGATTGTTGTTTTTTTTTTCTTTCACTTTTTATGATTTTTTGTCGTTACAACAAAATGTATGGTGTGGGTCAGATGTAACATTTCCTCCATCGCTTCTGAGTGAATCTGATATATTTTTACAGCCAATATCGCACTTTTTTAGTCTTATACTTTAATTAATTGTAGTATAAGCATCTCTTATATAGTGACATTTGCTCACTTTTCTGACACTTGAAACAGACTAACAATATCTTGTATTTTCTTTTAGACTTCCTTGGTCTAGCCGTTACTATGACAATGATTTGATTTCTAATGAAAACTAATGAAAACACTAATGAATTTCTTATTTAGACTAAAACGCTAACTAGGAATAAAACAGCATTTCAATCAAATGATCGGAATGCTTGACTCAATCGACAAAGTATAAATTACGACAGCCACTTTATGTTTTCATTTGAACTAAATTACCCCGTGTGGTAGGAAACACAACACGTCAAATGACGCTCCATTAAAACTAAAAGACAATATTCAAGTAGATTATGTTACAACACCAAACAACACATCTAATAATTAATATAATTATTCTCACTACACAATCAAAATTTATAAGATAACGTGTGGTGAAACATAAACCACATATATCAATACAATTTTTCAAGAAAATGAATTATACCATCACTAATCCAAGGCTTGTCTTAAGTGATATCTACTAGGCGAAATGTCTGTTCAAGAATTTCTCAAATTTAGGAAAATATCCATTTGAGCATTTCTCATACTAGGCGAACTGTCTGCTTGAGCATTTCTCACATTTAGAAAAACGTACACCGAACATACGCCACTCGGGCAAATGTCTATCCGGTAATTATCGTAGACATTCACATTATGTTTAAAAGCATTCTCACCGTCATGATAGTACTTTGTTTTACTTGTATTTGTTTTACGATTAAATCCAAATAATTTGATGAATATGGTTCACATTTAGCAATATGTATTTTGTTTCGCTTCAGTTCTATAAGGCGATGTATAGCACTGTTTCCTTGAGCTGCGGGTGTTGTTAAGCAACTTAAACAAAACCTGCATCTGTTTTTAACACTTGTTTGACTTTCTTATTTCAACCTGAGGCGGAACAAGACAAAAGCCAATACTTCTTTTTTTTTTCTTGTATTCGTCTTTTCACCAATGGTTAAGGTTCTCACGTGGAACGATGGAACATATATTTGATTTGATACAGGCGTGGATACATGTTTTTAGCAGATAACAACAACTTTATCAAACTTTTGTTGTTTTTTATTTTATATTCTATACATTCGCATTTGAGATACGAGTAACCGGATTCGCGAGTGGCACAGTTCGTGGAAAAGAAACACCGGGAAACAGTATTCTTAAAATTCTTTTACTAATATACTATTTAAATGCAACTTTGTATATCAATAAATAAAAGCGTAAGAATCTTATAAATATCTAGACATCGATTTCATTTGCAAACACATGATAAGACCGTCCACTTTTAGCATTCTTTGAGTACCGAACATCAATGTTTGCGTACATAGTTATTTTTAGACATGTGACTATACACTTCCAACCTTTTGAAAAAACAATACAGCTACAACACGTTCGTTGATGTTTATTTTGCAAAAAAAAAATATTATTGATTGCAGTTGAATTTATTCATGTAAAGAACATTTTTCCCCGCCTCAGACATGTAATTTACAGCGACAGTTTGCCTTGCACGTTCGCTTAAGTATTACAGTTTTCATCATCGGCGTGTGAGGACTGATACAGATTTACAATAGTAATATTTCTTTCTTACTTGTAGACTACTTTCATTCATTTAAGATGGTTTACTTATACATAGATCTAATACACACCGAAAAAATAAAAAAAAAAATAAAAAAAAACAACCTGAAAATGCAAATGTGTAATTAAATGATGATTCAAGGGATTTTTTTTCCTCGGCGTGGTGGGTGAGGGGGGGGGGGGACGGGGTGGAGTTTGGGTATTTAAATAGAGCTGAAATAAATTTGTGATTACAGAGAATTAAAATGATACACATTTTAAACAATCGGAAAAGTTATGTTATTACAACGAGACACATCAAATCAAACATTCTTCCCTTTCAAGCATCTATATCTATATCTATACAGTCCTCAAACAGTTTTTTTTTAATTCAATTGTTTTAAACATTTAAATCAGCAATAATAATTTGTTTGATAGTTTTACACAGCATCAAAGACATCGTCAATTGCCTATATAATAATCAAAGGGAGAAAATAAATTTGCAAATAAGAATAATTCAGACCGTTGTGGCACATAGGCAACAATTATCGAAGATCAGTCACAAGGTATATAACAAGATATAAAACATCATTAAATGGTTTTCACAATTGTAAATACAAAAGCAATTTTGTTATATTGTGATATCAAAACAAATCTATCAAATGCTATATACGAACGGTTTATTTGGTATACGAACAAGAATATAATAGTTTGATAGATGGTTACTATTTTTGTACTACTAACGCAAAGGTTAATCAACAAAAGAATGTTTAAGTTGTTTCCCTTATAAAATATATTTATCACATCGCAGTAACAGCATTCTCATTTCCGTCATAACTTAATCGGTGAGCTTAGCACAGAGACATGACAATGTGTCTTATCAATTTTATTTTATGTAATTATTGTGTATAGAATAATTACGGCAAACAATTGTAAAAGCATTATTCGTTTGTATTGTTTTATTATCCTATTCTTTTAATAATGAATATTTTAGGCCCTAAACTTTAGGGGTAATGTTATATCGTTTGTTTTGCTGTCAGCCATTATTCACTTATTTAATGTGGGATTTAAAATCTTTTTGGGCGGATTTAAATTTCCAATATATCGTTCTATAGACAAACCCGACAACTTTTGTATAGAAATTTATCAGATGATTGTTAGGACTGTAGGGTGTACTCATGTCTGTGCTGCTCGATCTATGTGTAGTTTAATCTTGGTTTACATTGACCCTGGTGTAGACAAAGATTTTTGGGAATATTAACATTGATATTATAAACAGATATTCAAACAATAGAAAAACAGGAATATACTTTAAAAAAATAGAATTTATGCAAATGTACAAATATTTGATTCTTTATCGAGCTAATATTTTCCAACTTGAATACGAGACAAATAATGAAAGTATAAAGCTTAAACAGTACTCCTACGGTTTAGAACTTCCCATGTGTATTAAACAGAGAACAACGAATCACCTGTAATATTTTACAAAAAAAAATTGTATAGAGTGGTATTGAAAGATTGGGTAGATGTTCTCTCTAGTCTATATATTGTAGTTCATCTACTTTTGTCTTTAGTTGTTGAACAGAGTAATGTTTATTTCAGGCATCTCCAAAGGGAGGGGGGGGGGGGGGGGCGGGGTTGGAGGGGCGTCAACCACCGCCCCCCACCCCATAAAATGATATAAAATTTATACATAAAGTTTATACTTTTAACACATTCCGCCCCCCCCCCTCTCTTTATCCATCCCCCATCGGAGAAAACATAGAAAATGTTATGCACAGTTTGACATAGACACAGTATTTTCAATTTGCCTTAAGTAAACTTAGGCCCAAGAAAATATGTGATATTGCTTAAAATCATCGACCAAATGTTTTTAAATAAAGATCTTTATGAATTTTTTTCATTTGCATTTAGTTCGTTAAAGAAAAAAAAATATCACAAACATCATTTGATAGTTCTCGTTTATTGTTTTCTTTGTCTTCCACTCTTCATAATTTCCGTCGTTACAAAAACAGCATTGGTCTGGGTTAGATATAACATTTTCTCCATCTCTTTTGATTGTTGCTGATACATGTTTACTGCCAAATAAAAAAAAAACTGTTACGTTTTACATGTGCAAGTTATGATAAATAGCCAGCTCTTAAAGCTAAAGCTACAATACTTTTGAATTCTGATACCAGAAAATAAAATAACAAGATCGTGTCTATTGTTTTAGACTTCCTTGATCTCATGACTAACCTCCAGTATTAAATCTACTGTCTGTTCCTCTTCAGTTGTATGACCCAATACTGTAGACTGGTCAGAGGCGTAGCGACTGGGTGGGGGGAGGTACATATGTCCCCGGGAGCCGACCCTAGGGGCGCCAAAATAAGCTCATTTTAGCTGCTATTTTGAATTATAATTATTAAAAATATAATGGGGGGGTGGCGTCAAATTGAAAGTTTATCTCGGGGCGCGGGAGGGGTCGCTACGCCGCTGAAACTAGTACTCTAGAATCACAATCAAAGCATACATCAACTCGTAGCAATCTTTCTCATTATCATTCATTAGATAAACTCTGTGATAAAACTGTGGAGGTTCCATCAACTGCCTTACCGTGATTTAATCATTCTATATATCGACTCTGGGATCTTCACGATTATACAGTTTACAACCAGTGCATTTCTTTCATGGATAAAGTAGATCAGTGATAGCAAATTTGTTTTGTTGCTTTACAACAACTGACTGTAATATCCCAGTTAAAAACGGAGCTTTTCAATGGAATGTTTATTTATAGTTGAGATAAGACAAAGTAATTATAATTTGTTTTAAGTCAATTTAGGCAAAATATATTATTTGCCATTCCAATAGATTACAAGCATTATGTTTCTAATTAATGCTCAGTGTTTGAATGCTCACATACTTTTCAAAATATATGTTATGTTTTTTTTTAAATCCCGTTCTACCTAGGGTATTTATAACAACTTTAGAACAAAACCCAAAGTTTGATCGAAAACATTGTTTATATACAAAGTCAGTTGTAAATTGATCACATTTTTATGATACTATTTTTCTTTGTACAGTTACAATATTTTACTCTCACGTGATATCAATAGTTTAATAATCTACATTTTCACCTAGTATAATGTCATTGAACTATCTAGTCGTAGAATTGTTTATTAGAGTATAGACTTTTTTTTTACACACAGTGGTGCCCCAATATAAGAGAGTGTTGTGATACGAGCTGTTGAGCAAGCTAAAATGTGATTTGATATACGAGTAACATTTGAGATACGAGTAACCCTATTAGAGAGTGTAACTGTTCGTGGAATAGAAACACCACGAAAAAGTTGCAGCAGCTCGTGAATAGGAGCTTTTTTATAACACTTACCTAACTGATCTACGAAACATTATTTCTCATTATTTTACTATATTATTACGTATACGCTACTCTTGTTTTATATAACAATAAATAAAAGCGTAAGACAGTAATAAAACAAATTAAAAGCGTACTCATTTGACAACACATGATAAAGACCATCCACTTTTAGCATTCTTTGATTATCGGCGTATTTATATGTAAGCATATTATACTATTTAGTACGAAGCGTAAACAATAATTTGTATGCTTAGTTATTCTTAAGACATGTGCTTTTCAACTTCACACATTTAAAAACAATAATACTGCTACAGTCCGTTCGTGGATTATTATTTACCAAAAACTAATTACTATTGCTTACTGATGCGTTTAGTTATGTATAAAGAAATGGTGGACTTTCATAAAAATATAAATACATCTTATTACTAAAGTGAAACATATTGTAACGATGATCGCAGATTAGTCGCAACGTATATAACAAGATATTTAACATCTTTAAATGAATCCTACGATTTTAAATGCAAAAGTAATTTAGTTGTATTTTTATATTGTAACTAATCTATTAAATGACATACGAACGTATTAGATATTATTCGAAAATTAATATATTATTTTAATGGATGTATACTATGTTTGTACTGCATAGGTAAAAATTAATCACCAAATGAATGTGTAGGTTGTTTCCCTTATAAAATGTTAAAAGCAATTAAGTTTCCTTCATATATCACATCGCAGTTATAGTGTTCTCATTTACGTCTTACCATAATCGATTAGCTTAGCACATATACATGACAGTTTGTCTAAACAATTTTATTTATACATGTGTATATAATAATTAAGGCAAACAATTGCAACATCATTATTCATGTTTGTTTTGTTTTATTTTCCTATTCATTTAATATGGAATAGTTTAGGGGTATTGTTATATCTTTGTCCCGCCAAACTACAATGTCTTAGCTAAGCTGAGCTTTTCGTGAAATAAATCTTTTAACTCGATGTCAGTGTATTTTTTAAAATAAATCTTTTATTCATATATGTCCATATAGTTGATCTAAAAATAGTCGTCGCTACTAGTCTGTTTTCGTCTTCTGTTATGTGTCTAGTCGTGTTAGTTAAGTGTAATTGCATTATTTATTAAGGCTATTTGATTGGTGGTTTTTAATATTTCGCAAGTGTTTCAATTGCTTTCTGTTCTAAGGTACAATGGAAATAAATGTGTTTCTCAGTTTCTTGTGTATTCTGTTTACATGTTTCACATGTACTTTTAACATTAAAATTTGATTTGACTTTTTGTTTCCCAAAAATACATTTTATTTCGCCTATAAATGTATAAGTAAACCATCTTAAATGAATGACATTAGGCTACAAGTAAGAAAGAAGTATTACTATTGTAAACCTGTATCAATTCTCACAAGTCGATGATGAAAACTGTAATACTAACGCAAATAAAGACAAACTGACGCAGTTAATTCAAAATATTTTTGTTTCACCTCCATTAAAATTTTATTTGAAAAGAAAAGAAATATATGTTTTGTTTCAATATTTGTTTTGTTATCTTGGAATATAACTTATAACATGCATGCAATCTGACAAATGTATTTATCCAACATTGAGAAAAGTATGGAGGTCTGGTGTGGCTAGAGGATGACTTGATATATCTAGTCTTTGTTCGGTAGCTTAAATAGCTGAATTGGAGACTGAGGGTTGACTGCCCAGATGAAGATTTGGCACTATAGTTTTGTGAGTGTGGGCACGGCAGGATAATGTTGGATTTGTCCAAGTAGGTGCAGATGGTGATTATGGTGATGATGATCATTTCTTGACCCTAACCCAAGGGATAATTGAAAAATGTATACTATAAGAAATTGTAGCTAATCTTGCCATTTGTGCTGGTTTCTAAATTTAGATTCCTAACTTTGCTTTCGTTTTAATCATATTTTTTTTTTCACACACTCAGTTTTAATGATAATTTTATAAAAGTTTGTTTACAAAATGATAACATTATAATAAATTAAATTTTTTAATACTAATTTAACTCTCATGTCTAGGTTGATGTTTGTGCCAAATTTAGCATAAAGTGCTGTCTTTAGGTCATTCAGTGTTTCCTTGTGGTTTTCAGCCTTCTGTTTCAGAGCCGCGATCTCTTCTAAGCACAGTTCCTTGGCTTTTTCTAGGGCAGACTGAGCATCTTCAGCATTCATTTCTACCAAAACTTCCCCAATCTGATATGGAATAACCTGAGCATCCCCCTCAGCCAGCATTAACTCTTCCTCAGCAACTTTTAAATTCTCTAGCTCTTTCTCTTTGGCTGCTAACTCTTCTTTAAATTCCATAAGACGGGCATTGGTTCGTGCAAACATGTTGATCTTTTGCTGGTCTTCATAGGTAACCTGAGCATCACTGTCTAAGTTTTAATCATAATTATAAGTAAAATAATTTAGCTGCAGAAAAAAGCGCGGTTAAACAATATTTACCGATCAGGCACAAAGTGTATAACAAATCATATACCATCTTTAAATGGTTCTTATGCTTTTAAATACAAAAGAAATTTAATTAAGTTTTATATTAAAACGTATCTCTTAAATCAGTTATACAAAATTAAAAGTTGTTATTAGAAGAGTAATATATTAATTTAATATATGTATACCATATTGAAACTGTTTAGGTACACGTTAATCAACAAAATAATTGGTAAGTTGCTTCCCTTATCAAATGTAAATTAAAATAAGTCCTGTTACTTTGAGCTGCGGGTGTTGTCATTTAAATTGAAGTAAATAACATGTAACTGTTTTTACACTTATATATATATATATGTTATATTAGTTCTGTGTTTATAGTAACGTTTGTATTTGTTTTAAAATCAAATTCAAATAATGTGATGACTTTGGTTAACATTTGGCAAAATGTATTTTAGTTTCCCATCAGTTCTCTGTAGCGGTGGATAGCACTGTCACCTTGAAATGCGGGTGTTGTCATTAAAATTAAAGTAAATAACATGTAACTGTTTTTACACTTATATATATATATATATATATGTTATATTAGTATGCTTTGACTCTGATCGAGAATCGCAATATATAGTGCTTTTATTTTTATTAATTCGATGTCTTTAACCTATTAGGGATGAATGTAAAATGTTATATTTTGCATTTTATCTTTCCAAAAACATAAACTTATTTTGCACTAAAATTAAAAATTGAAAATTTTAAATTGTACTATACAATACACAAAATAATCATGTTTAACCCTGAAAGTGCCACATTTAAATAATTTCTATTTTATGGCAGTCGAATAGAAAAAATATGAGAACATAGTGTTATCATCAGACAAGCATGTATTATTTTTTGATGAACTTAATGATAACAATGTTATTAACATTAATTAACTGTTATATATACATATGATATGCATTTTAAAAAAATCTAACGTTAATCTTAATGTTTATCAAAAGATCATCCTCTTCTTTCTTTATTCTTCTTTCTTAATTGTTAGTGTTGAAGGGGATCGAGATTTATCTGCCAGTGGGTTTGAACTCGAGACTTTGTTCAAATTTACCAACCATGAGCTTTTTTGCCGACTCGACCACGCCTCCAACACAATTAAGCGGTACGTGTCAACTGGTTATGCGCCTTTGAGGCCATTGACTCCGATTTCAGCGTGCTTTTCTTTTTGGATTTGCTTCTATAGCCTTTGTCCAACCAAGAACAAACTACAATGCAGCAGTTGTTTAATTTTGGAGTTGTCTCTCCTAGAAGAGTGGCTGTCCCCAGCTAACGAGCCTCATCTGCCCGAGGGTTCGAACTCGAGACTTTTCGGTTTAGCAACCATGAGCTTTACCGACTCGACCACGCCGACCCCTAAAAGATCATCCAGTATGTAAAGTGGACGAGCTTATGTTGTATGGAAAAGTTTTTAGGCGGAAAAAAGCATATTTTTTTGTTGAATGAAAGTGGTTGTTAAGTCAAACATTCATTACATTGGATGAAAACAAAATGATAATTCTAAAAAAAATCAGCATACTACTTTATAAACATGGATCTCAACTAACGTAGTAAAAATTATGGAATAAAGTAATACACTCAACGGTTAGTGATCAATTTATTTTTATTTAATCATTGTATATTAATGGATTACTTTAAATTTAAAATACTCGTACTAGCTGTCGCCGCTGTATCTTGTTGTAGTATGTCTTGATTAGTTAAGTGACAATGGGTAGTTTAATGTTTGTTTGACCCACAACTTCCACATATGTGTCGTCTTACAGGAATAGCAAATAAAATATTTATTGGTGTTCTTTATAATGGATTTATAATTGATGTTTATGTAGTGTGTAAAGGTTGAAGAATTGTCCGAAAAAAATGTGAAGCTGCCTGTTGTTAGGCCATTGAGTTGACAGTGAGTTCTAGTTTGCTAAGATTTCTCAGGGCCTTTATGATTGTGTCGCTGTTGAGTGGGTGGGGTGGGGGTAGGAAATCTGAGGGTGCCGCTGACATTGTCTTCCCTGTAGATGGTGAATTCTAATGTATAAAGTCCGTGATGTTTGGTGGTGTTGTTTAGTTCTTTTACGTGAACAACAGCCGAAAAATATCAGGTATCTACTGGGCCGTAGTTGAGTAGTAGAATATTGTGCCGACTGATCAGTCGTCTGATAATATGTCTACGTAAGTTAGGCTGTCTATTGGTTTTTTTTTATTACTTGCATTACAGGTATGATGATGACCGTTTATCAACATGAATGTACACACACAAAAAAACAAATAAAATATGATTTTCCAAAGCATTGAAAAATCTAACTAATGCTATTGCAAATCAGTGTAAATTCTGGTATTGCTAATCAAAAACCAGTTCAGAAATACGTTGGTTCACCTATTTAAAAAAAATAAAAATTGTGAAAAAAATCACATCTAAATCACGATCGAACTAAAATTGCCAACTCCATTAGCGATATATACAAATATTCGAGCAAGTTTATGAGATATCACTTCCGCTTATTTGTAAGTATACGTGTAAACGTGTTTCAATATGTTGTTGATATATTTTAACTTCTTTGTCTTTAGTAAGCACTGTTACTTTTTCTATGTCCGTAATTAGGTCAAAGCTCTTGTTTAAAGTAACTTTTTGTCCGTATAATTGATAGTCATTGTCTAAGTACTTGTAAAATCATTTTGTGTTTCAGTATATGCTTTTTTGTCACCAATAATCAATTACTTATTGTCATCTTTCAGTGTGGTTTATGTGAGTCTGTGAGTCTGCCGTATGTTTCAATTCATTAGTTTCAACTTTTACTGTAATGGTTGACATAATAATGAACATAAACAATAAACACTCGTTACATTCTTAGCATAATTTGTTACTCCCTAATCCAATGTAGGCTACTTTCTATTAAATCGACCATCCCGGCAAGAAACATTCACCCTAATGGTGGATATCACAACGAAACTAAACGAGTTATGTGTTTCTTCCAGACTTTTTTTCTCCGGGGGGGGGGGGGGGGTCAACAACTTGGGGGGGGGGGGGGGCGACACTAGTAAAAGTGTATGTGTATCAGGGGCGGAACTAAAGTGCCCACGCCATTTAGGGGCCCGCAGCCGACCATAATAATTTTTGTATAGTTAATTTTTTTTCTTGCATTTTGACATGATGGTTGTTTTGTGAAAAAAATTACCGTAGCTGCGGTTGGACTATCTTCTATATTCTATAGACACACCCCCCATACGCTCTTGTATATTCTTTTTCCCATTTTGTTTTTTAAACCACTGTGAAAGCCGAGTCATCTTTCTCCTACAATCAAACTTATTAAAAATAAGCAAATGTTCAAACCACTTTAATGACTTATTTCCCTTTTCTAAATAGTCAAATAGGGGTGCTCATAAGCTCCTTTTAATAGATTTGTACTAAATAAATTAAAAAGCAATTATTTCTCTTTATTATTATTTTTTATAGTACTTCATAATGAATGACATTGTATATAAAATACATGTATTTATAATTAATAATATAAATACAAAAAATACATAAAAATAAACATAACACGAGAAACCATTACTTATACAAAGATTTCATATATATATATATATATATATATATATATATATATATATATATATATATATATATATATATATATATATATATATATATATACAAATATATATATTATATTCTTTTGACATACGAGGGGTTATGTTGTCGTATAGCAAAAATAAAATAAAACTGATTTACACAAAGATAACGTAATTTCATATTTGAGAAGGATATTAGCGGGAAATAACAATCAATCACAATCATGGCAGATGACAAAGACAATGAAGAACATGTGCCAGAATCTCCAGAAATCCATTTTGAACCCATTGTCAAGTTGTCCCTTGTTGAGATCAAGACAATGGAAGAAGATGAAGAAGTGTTGTTACACTTGAGAGCAAAGCTTTTCCGCTATGATCATGATGCAGAGCCTAAAGAGTGAAAAGAAAGAGACACGGGAGAATGCACAATTTTGAAACATAAAAAAACGGCATGATTAGGATTTTAATGAGAAGAGATAAAACACTGAAAATTTGTGCCAATCACTATATCTATCCATCTATGGATCTCAAACCCAACTGTGGCAGTGATTGGGCATGGGTTTGGTCCACTACAGGAGATTTAGCAGATGAAGAAAGCAAAGAAGAGGTGCTTGCCATCAGATTTGCAAATGCAGAAAATGCCAAAAAGTTTAAAACAGTATTTGATGAGTCTGCAGAGCAAATGAAGAAAGTTTTGAACACCAAGTCAGTTATAGAAAATGGAGATAATAATGCTGAAAAAAGAGATGAAGAGAAGGAAAAAGTGGATGATGGAACCACTGAGCTGGCTGGTCAGTTGAAAGACTTTAATGTCAATAAGCATACAGAAGAGACCCCTGCTGAGGGTAGTACTGAGTGATATAAAATTAGACAGTGAAAATCATTGTACATCTTGCCACAGTCTACATGTTGTGTTTAACATTGATTCCATTCAGCACTCTCCTACCTACCTTCCTCACTGGCAGAATAAAGGGCAGTGTTGTATTCATAATGACATTGGTCAGCGGTTTACGTAACTCTAAAATATCCTTATGTCTAGAATTAAAGTGATGTCAATTAACATAGGTCTGAAACATTTTTTTGGATAAAGTAATGAACCTCGTGTGTATGTTTCTTGCAATATTCATCACTGATTACATATTTTTTTTTTTTATGACAAAAGGTGCTTTACTGCCTACCAAGTAGCTATTTTAATTCTATGTAATTAAAATAGATTAAGGATAAATAAATATTTTTTTTAAGAAAAAAAATTCTTTCAATTCTTAATGGTTACAAAATTGATGAGTATAGTATTGTATTATATTAAGTTTATTGGTCCCATTTCTTCAAAAATAAAAATATTTTTTTTAAACCCATAGCAAATTCTTGTCCAAATGAAAGTTTTGATGGATGAGCAGTTTTTGGTTTTTTTTTTTTTCTATTTTTGTACGAAGTAATTAAAATAACACAAAACACTATAATGCACGAAAACACATTAAAACCCGAATAGGCCAGCAATGAGTATCAGATGTTCGAATTTTGTGTTTGTATAAATAAATAAATAAATAAATAAATAAATAAATATATATATATATATATATATATATATATATATATATATATATATATATATGGGGGGGCCTAACATGTTTTTTTGCGAGGTGGCCCTTTTTTTCTAGTTCCGCCACTGATGTGTATTATATAAAACCCATCTCGTTC